ACCTGAGTTTTCTTGTACATAAGTATATAATCCGTTATTTTAATAAGAGGGTTTAGTGATATTTCTCCTGTTTCCAACAGTAAGTATATTTAAGTGACTCGCAAGCCTGCACAACGACGAAACGAATCCAACATTTGAAAATTACTGTTCTCGATGGTTCAAGGAAAATCTTGTCTAGCGCCCTCTACAAAGATTACTACCACAAACAAAATGGCGACTTCGGGGAGAGGAACTTCTCGCGTTTTACTAAAATTAAGGCAAAATGTGGAGGAAGGAAACTATTATGAAGCACACCAGATGTACAGGACTTTATACCATAGGTAATTATATTATGAAGCATGTTTTCACAGAATATAAACTAAGTCAGCCCTATGAAAAGGGAGTGTTTTAGACTTTTAGACAAGTCTGATTGTGATGGTTCACATCATGTTGTGTTATTCGTGATAGATGCAGCATCACACTTCACCCACTACCGCTTCGCCCACACTACGATACGGCGTACGCCCACAACCAATTTACCACTTCTCCCTGTGCAAAATATTGTTTAGGTAATAGTAGGCCTTTTTAAGTATTATAGGCCCAATTAAGAAGGCAAATCAATTGTTCTAAAATACTGTTGGGTTTTGATAATGAAAGTCAGAAAGTGGTTCTTTATTTGGCCTAGGCCTACCACCCTGATCCTATCAACATCAAGGAAACAAAGTCCACTTTTACAAAATACGGCCTCCGAACTCACCGCCAAAATGGTCATTAAACTGTCTTATGCGCCCAGCTTAGGATCAAGTGAGAATCAGAGATTCCAAATGGTAGCAAGGTTTACACATAATCACATTTGGGAGGAAAAGAGAAATTTGCCCTGCAAATTGGAAACAGTTTTGTCGTCAAGCTTGATGCCGCCATCTTGTTCAAGTAGTGATTTGATCTTTAGGTCCTATGTTAATAATCTGGAGACAACGTCATGGCTCGCCTGCCTCTAGCAGACCATTCACAAAAAGCACACGTGCGCCAATGACTGATTCCTGAGCGCCGCATGCCCGGTAGCTGTGATCACATCGAAACTGTATACCATACATTGGAATTATTTGGCTTGCATCTCCATTATGACTGACCATGTGTTAATTTTTGTGTATATTGCATCGTAATAATTTTGAATGCATTGATATTGTCTTTCATTGTGCCATGCATGCATGTGAATGCGCACATACTGAAATACAAGACTTTAGGAAGCTGATGTACGTGCAAGAAGTTGAACAAAGTGTAACTGGGTCCCTTGTCCAACTTGTGCCCCTTTCCCATGTTTTGGTCCTCTCTGCTTGCCCTGGTGTCATCTCTCAGCCCCCTCAGCCTTGCCTCTGAACGTTCAGACTTGGTTGGGAATATCTATAGCTCTGGAGGGGTTTTTTTTTTGGGGGGGGGAATGACATGTGAGTTCAAGTTCTGCCTGTTTGACTTTGGGGGTTACTTGTCTAAAATTCAAAAAGCTTTGTTAATTTTCACAGCATTTCATGCATCCGTGCAACTTGCAACATTCGTTGCATAGAATCTTAAAAACACACGCTTTGTATGGCCCTGCTCTTTTATGTACTCCACAGTGACTCCAGTATTTCACAATAAATTGGGTGTATTTTAGCCTCAGGTCTCTGAATTATTGAAGTGTCGACATCAATGGATTCATTCACAGGTACATGGCACAGAAGAAACATGCTGAGGCAATAGAGCTAATATACTCTGGTGCGTCCTTGTTACTGAGCCACAACCAGGTAGGACAGAAGTAATACACCTTGGGCAGTAGATAGCTGCTCACAGTAGGGTCTTTCATCTCCTGTTCAAGCCACTCTACAAGTCAGTGTGATTGTTAGTGACATCTTCATCTCTTTAAGCAACGGGAAGCAAATATTTATGCAAGTGAATTTACAAGAGAATATCCTATATATCTTTGTCTATCTTTGTATCGATTTTTTTGTCAACAATGCCTGCAACTACACTTCCTTTTCAGATTATTTTATGCTGGAAGCAACAGCGAAAGGAACTGGTGAGGTGGAAAATTCAGTGTAATCAGTTGAATGAGAGTATAGGGGAATTCCAGAAATTAGGGGTCCATTTTTTTCCATGGCCCTCTCATATCTGACATCTGATGCTCTGTAGTGTCAAGGGAAGAGTTGTACATGTACAAGCATGTCAAAGAACCATGAAATTGATATTTTTCCAGTCTTAACACAGTTCTTTCATTTTCAATTTTCTCTGCAGTATACAAGTGGTGCTGATCTGTGTTTACTGTTAGTTGAAGCCTTCAATATATCTGATACTCCAGTTGTTACTGAAAACATAGGTAACGATTTCTATTAAGCTCAATCGCAAACGAATGTTCTCTTACCAATAGTGGCCTTGAGTGAGCCAGCTTGTGTGAGTGTACCTAGCTGCTTGACTTGTCACTGTCCTGGCTCTGAGTAGTGGAAGTCAATTATGGCTGTGTTTCTGTTGTGTTGCCCAGACAAAGTGGCTGGTCTGGTCTGCACGATCCCTTCCGACGTGCCCGAGAGAGGGAAGTGCATCAGCTCAGCCCTGCAGTGGTCCAAGACCAGCAATAAAGCCATCAAGACTGGAGACCCAGAGCTGCACCAGCGATTAGCCGTGAAACTCTGGCAAGGTACAGTGCGTCACGTTCCCAAGGTCCAAGTGGGACCTCCTGTAGAAATGGATAGTCAAAGTCAATCGCATTCCCAGGGTCTGTTTTCCAGCTCAGTCTAGACAGCAGGCTCCGTGTGGGTAACCAGTTTTCTGCAGTCTGATAGTGATGGGTTGATCTGAAGAAAATGAATTAGTAATTAGGTTACAGGAGTTTGGATTTTTTATCGTTATCTGAAATTTGGAAAAAAATTTTGCAGTTTACTCCTGATGATTAAAAATGCTGAAGATTTCCGCTACTGAAATTCCAAATGGTTGTTCCTAACAGAAAAGAACTACTTCGAGGCACGTTATCATTTCTTGCACTCATGCGATGGTGAGGGATGCGCTTCTATGTTGGTGGAGTACCACGTGGCTAACGGCTACCCCAGTGAGGTGGACATGTTCGTTGCTCAGGCTGTCTTTCAGTGAGTTACTTGTACTTGACGTTTTAATTAATCAGAGCTGTGTAAGTTGTTCGGATGTTATATGGACACATGTGTGCTGTCAGTTGATTCGTTTGATTGAAGGGAATTAATTGTCATGAACTGAACTCACACCATGGAATTTTAATCTCAGCGGTGTCACTTTACTGTAGAGTTCTAGTCTTGGATGAAGGAGGGGGCTGTTTACCAAGGGATAGTCTCCTTGGTTGCACACTCACCATGGATTATGCACAAATGATGTTGTAAATCTGTAGAACAGGAATTCTTACAGTGCCTAGCACATCCTATTGTTGTCCAGCGTCTCCGTCAGAGGTGGAAGGTATTTGTGCCCGAGGGAATAAGTCGTTCCTCGTTGAGAGAAATCGGGTGTTTTTTTTCAGGTTGTCACACCAATTAATGGTCTCATTTTGTATTTCAAGTAACTATCAATAATTGATGGCAGTTGTCACAGGTGCCAGAATTAAGGATTAGATAAGTTCCCACTCTGTGGATGAATCCAGTGTGGACACACAGCCTGAATAGCATCCCTCTTTATGTTATTTTCAGGTACTTGTGCCTCAAGAATAAGGCCTGTGCCACGCTGACGTTTCACATGTACACTGAGAAACACCCAGCCATTTCCAGCGGTCCCCCGTTCATCCTGCCCCTGTTGAATTTCCTGTGGTTTATGCTGATGGCAATAGAAGGGTAGGCCTATATCACCTTTCTCTGTGAACAGTGGATTTTTTCACAGGTTTGTTTTGTGAGACAGAGAACACTTACCTCTGTAGCAGTAGTCTGGCTGCTTGTGAGTTTGCGCTGCTGCAGTTTGTCTCCACCCTGGTAGGAAGGGTCAGGACAGTAACATTATTTTCTTAGCTGTCAATGGAATGGCTCTCTGAAACGTTCAGGTGGAAACAGCAAAAACACCCTCAAAGTCAGTTCCGCTTTCTTGCTGAAGGTTGCACGATTTCTATTCTAAGCTGTGCGGAGAGGTTGGACCTGGGTAGAGGGGTGAGACATGCGCACAGCTAAACAGTTTGGCATGTCTGAATCCAGCAGATGGGTAACTGTTTAAGTCTATTTTATATTTCTTGTTCACCGTTTGCAGCGGTAAGCTGACTACTTTTACTGTGCTCTGTGAGCAGTACCAGCCGAGTCTCAAGAGGGATCCTATATACTTAGAATACTTGGACAGAATCGGCCAGCTGTTCTTTGGCTTGCCACCTCCCATTGGGCCCCCTATGGGCGGTGGAATACTGGGTGAGTCCTTTCTCTTATCTCCTCTCTCCCCGTCAGTCCCCACCCACCCCAACCTCAAGTAATTCCAGTTCTCTTCAAGCAGGTGGCAAATACATTTTGTCGATCATTTCCCATAATTCAGTGCGAAAAATGGCCTTTCTGTGGCAACCCCTCAGTGGCGCAATGTCTTATGAATGCCTGTGTTGGTCTTGGGGATTTGGGGATTTTCCTGCTCACTTTATCGCAGGAATTTCAAAATGCACCATCATGTCTTAAACCTTAACCTAAGGCTAAATCCTCTGATTTCAATGTGATTCTTACACACACCTTGGGTAGTCAGGTCAGTGAGAAAGTACGTTCCTGATTTGCGTCTTGGTTAATTATACAGACAACCTGCTTCGTGGCTTCCTTGGCGGTGAACCAGGAAATGACGACGAGACAGACTCATCAGGGCCAGCAGAGGAAGAGTTGGACTGACAGCAAGGAGATGGGATGGGGTCTCATATTGAAATTGGTGTAGTGTCCATCTTGGTTATGTGAACGTTAATGGGTGGGTGTTGAAACGGCCATGTTTCTTAGCACTGTTAACTTGACTGTGAAAAAGTCCTGTGCTATTGGAGGATCTCAAAGATGCAATGGAACTGTTCTTGTTCCTTTTAAAATTTCGCCATATTGCAGTGGTCTGGTCCATATTCTCGTAAGCCATTTCCTGGTGTACATGTGTGTTATATGCGCTTCAATTACCTCTAGAGGAGCACCAGGCATTGTGTGGTGTGTTCCCCGGAGTGGCTTATCATTAAGTTTTGCCAATAAAACCATTTTATGAAATGTTCCAAATTTGCGGATATTTCCTGAGTTTTAGAGCATTTCACTGCATCAACTATGCTTTCCATGTACTTGTGACTTGCCAACAGTCAGTGCCTGGTGTTTCACAAGTTTGGTTGTCTTTATTCTTTAAATCTTAGCTATCGCTACCTTATCTCAGCCATTGATGCATCATCCGTGACCAAGTTTCCAAGTGACACTTCAATAAAATACAAAGGGTGGGCCAGTGACTAATTGGACACAGGTGGATTTTCTGAGATGAAAGATACAGATGGGAATACAGAACCGTTCACATATTTTCAACGTTGGTTTGATCCCAGTTCAGCCTTAAAACTGTTCAACAATTCAAATACATGATGGGCCTCTTGCATCAAACATGTCAGCGGAAAAAATGTAGGTATACCTTTTTGGCTAACCAGTCTCAGAAATATGGGCACCATGTGGGAACAGTACGTCCTATTAGCACAAACTTGGTGTGAAAATGACTGAAAGATATTAATGACAAAAACGCCTGAAGGCTTGGCACGAGAAAAGAAGGCACTGCAGTGACATCAGAAAAAAAACAAATTGAGGGGGACTCTGCTCCCCTTCCCCCGGCTCTTTAAAGGTTAAAGCAATCATTTTTTTGTAATGGCCAAAACATTGTGTGTAATGCTAAGAAACGTGAAATAAATCTAAGTTAGTGTAATTGTGCTGGACACTTGTTGATAGCTGCCCAGGCAGTCCCCAGCTGGATCTGATAGTGATGGCAACAAGTGGAAGTTACAGATTTTCACATGCACTTGTACAGGTTCAGCACACTTGTCCCTAGATTTGCAGTCCAGATGTTCTCTCCAGGATCCGGTCACATTGAGCTGCTTATCCGTTCATGGAAAGCTTGTCAGCCTGCTAGTCCATCAATATGTTTGGGGTCGCAAAATATCTCCCTTTTAGATTTTGATTTATTGAACTTTTTGAAGGGGGGAGGGTTATCATTTGGTTTAATCAACAGTAGCTGAGAACCAAGTTGTCTGTCTTTAGGTCATTAAAAGGAGGTTATATTTCGCTGAAGCATCATTATAATTCATGTCCTCCACTTGTACCGGTTGATTAAGTAGTCTGCAACTTTGTTCAACTTTCTTGGAAACATTTTCTGTTGGAATTCTTCCCATTCAGAATTCAAGAGGTTTTGGCCTGTAGTTTTGCACATTTTTTTTCAAGGGAGCTCTTATTTCGCAAAGAAGTTTTAAGTTGAACAGAAGTATGCAATAATCAATACAATTGATAAATCAAATAACCCAGTAGTACCAGCGCCCGTTTCCAGTCTTATGCAGGGAAACTGTGCCAATCTCAACCATATTTCATAGCATAGTTGTACCGTTTGCCTGTGGGTAATCTGTTGCCGAGACAAATAGCCAAAAGAACATTCAGAATAACGTTCTGCTTCTCAAAAGCTTAGCATGCACTTGTGTTTGCTCATTGTCTCCACAGTCTCCATGAAATGGATGGAAATCTTATCGACGGAAAACTGTGCAACTTGGGAGCTTTATGATACTCGTAACTCATTTCAAAGCCATCGCGTATTCATACAATGGTCAAATTAATATGAGAAAGAGTGGCACACATATATACTTCTTAATGTCAAGGTGTGTATTTCATGAAAAATTAACTCGTATCTCTACTATTTTCTTGTTGTTTGTCGGGGTGGGGTGGGTGGTCGGTTGGGTTTAATTTTAGATTTCTTTTCCGAACCGCTTGAAAAACAATTAAGAATTTAGACTTTTGATAGACTTCATGTTAAAAGGCTGAGTCGTCACTCTGTTTTCAAATTGTCACTAAAATAAATGTAGGAATGAAATTAGAAAAGGAGCTTTTATGAGGTTACATGGAATTTTATTCCCTCTCTTCTCGTACCCTCTGCTGCAATTGTTTCTGCTCTTCCAATAAATTTGCATAAAGAGGAAAATGCTTGATGTGGTCGATAAAGATTATCAATCTATTATTTCAAGGCACTGATTCAAATCTCTTTCCAAATGGAATTTATATTGGCTTCTTTGTGGCTTTGCTCCTTGCATTGGTCAGATTCTGATACTCGTCCAGTGACTTGAATTATTGTCAAAAGAGGAAAAACTTTCATAACGCCAAATATTGCAGTGAAAGTTACCCGGTGCTTCTTGTTATATTTCCCTAAAAAAACTTGTTAAGGATGCCCATCGTCAATTTTGCGTAAAGGGCTGTTTTCTGTAAACATGCTTCGTGACCATCATGAGTTGGCAGGAGTCGCAAAGGAGGTAACAGTATTTCGCAGACTTTTTCAAATAACTTTTTGTCATGATAATCCGAGAATATCCCCAACTCTGTAAGACTGTAGGAAACGCCGCATCAGAACTGAAAAGCTTGAACTGGAACACATTGAAACTGATTAACAGCAATGACGTGCGTACATACCGCAATGTGTATGTAGAATTTATCTCTGTTGTCTGCATTATACTTCATGGCTTTTGGGAAGACCAACACTCAACGAAAAGCTGTGTACATTTAGAATTCTGTGAAATTAAATAAACTCAACCGTTTGGGGTGAGATTTGCAGGCGTGTTCTTATTTTTGTTTGGTTCTTGTTTTCCTCCCCACTTGTCCTTCAAACCTTCTCACGCATACATGTGTTGGGCCTGTGGTCTTGTACCGCATCAACTTGTATGTTATACATAAGATAACTACTGTAAGAAAACCTTTGAATGAAGTTGAGTTAAAGCGTGCCCTTTTCCGCAAGAGTGCTGAAAAGCCGAGACTTAACTCTTGAAACTGTTCTTCCAACTGATAATAATGTACATGCTGCAGGGAATGATGCCGTAACGCCCTTCGATTTGGCGCTACAGTGCTGATCTGGAATGGTTGAGATAGGTGATGAATTTGAAAGTTACGCATGACATGAAATAAAACTACTGTATAGCCAATGACATATCAAGCGGAAGGGGGCTTTTGTGTTGGAATTTTTTTAAGGATTGTCAGTGTTAATACTTTCATAACGGTTCGAACACTTTTGGGGTGAGAATATTGGACCCTCCCTTTGAAAAAAGTTTCCAATCCAGACCCCAAACCTGGATGCGCCACTTGGTATAGCCACTTTACTTTTAATGGCGTGTCAGGCACTAATCTGGGACATGCGCGTCGACAAGGGAGGGTGAGGGTTAATGGAGCACCTGGAAAAACTTTTATCAGGAAAAATTTGATAAAAAAAATCTCCAGTTACCACAGAAATGCTTTGGAAGTGACTCGCGCACCGCAAATATTGTGTTTCGCAATTAAATACTTTTCCACTTTTTTACTATCAGTGTTGGTAACACAATGCTCAAACACCAAGCACGTTTAGAGTGTTGATGGAATGTATTAGGCCTAGGCAACTGAATATTGGCGGTTAGGATGGGGGGGGTCGCCACGTGTCGTCTTTGGCTCCCAAACACGTTTACTAAGCAATCTAAAGCCAGGCTGTGTATAATTTGTCACGCAGTTTGCTATCCGTTGATCGTTTTTTTTCCCTTGGAAGGAGCTTTGCTCCCTTCCTATACTGGCCATACTTTAATTATGTATACCTTGAGAGGCATCATACTATTTGTTTTATGCTAACACTATCCAAAGTATATGACAACTAATGGTACCAGGAACACTATCGAAAAGTAAAGTTAATGGTCCCCTTTATGTAGCTATCTGCTAATTGACAGTGTCAGTTTTAGGAAGCGGGCGGTTTTATAAGGGTTGTTAGGGCCGACAGTTCACAGGTTCGCGAGTGCAAGCCACTCGCGGTGTCCAGATGCGGAGATGGAAGAAGTCTAAGATATCGTGCCAGAAGAATACATACCATGGAAAGGGAGAAGACGTCGTGCCGTGCGTGGCTTGTTGTGCTCAGTCTCAACATCACCTTCACACTCTATGGAGGTTTAAATAAAGTCTTCGGTGTACTGATGCCTGAACTTCGAGAGCAGTTAGCAACGGACACCTGGCTGCTTGGATGGGTGATTACCATGATTGGGGCCTCGGTGCAGAGCGCGGGTAAGGTTATGCAGATGATAAAATAAGACGAACGAATTAGGCTTGCAAAGGAAATTTAAAAATTCAAGCAGTCAATTACTTAACTGTTCATTTTTAAGTTTAAAACAGGAAAACACAAAACAAATTTCATTTTAAATTGTCGTTTCAGTTCCTAAACGAAAGCGTGACAGTTTGTTTTGCTGCATTTCTCTTCGAAGCAATCTGGGGTGAGAGCAATAGTCTGTATGACTTTGGTCAGCCACAAACCAAGCCTAGGCCTATTTCTTGCTTTTCGTTTCACATTGAAAAAATGAAAAATACCGTTTTTCACATTTTTGTTCTCAACTTGAGGGAATGAAAAACAGCTTGTTTCAAAATCGAAAAAAAAAACGACTCTAGAAATTTAACATCGATGCACAAAAACTAACATCGTATGGAACCTGATCATAGTTACAACCTGATCATAGTTGTTCGGACCTTGATTTTATAAAAGATAAATAAGGTTTTACAATGCGGCATACTCTTCAACGGCATGAAAACCATCTATGACAGCGAACACGTAAGCTTATAAATCATGTCATGATGCCGCATTCAAAGTGGGCCGTCATTATTACCTTTGCGGGCAAACGAATAATGGGAAAGGGGTGTAAGTAGGCCTACCACGGGCCATATAATTCAAAAGTGCGGGTTGGTCGACGTCATAAGGTAAAAATGTTAATGAGAGCTCACCTGACCTTTGAATTTTCCCTGGTAGATTTTGAAAAAACACAACAGAATTTTCAGAAGTGGAAGCCGACTATTCTTTGGGCAGGCTACTAACTGTTTTTAAGGTTAATTATCTGGTGTTCCCCCTTTTGCCCAGGCCTTCTGACTGGACCACTTACCAGCATATTCAGTGAGCGTGCCATCTTCACAGCTAGCGCTGTATCTTCCGTTGCTGGGCTCCTTGGAGCTTTCCTAGCACCTGGGCTCCTTTCCCTTACTCTGTGCGTAGTCTGCCTAACAGGTAAGTCCGTAGGCCCTACATGCGATGCATGGACTTAATTGTTACATGTAGTCAAGACGGACTGCGGGGCATTTGTGTAACATGTTGCATTGAGAAGTGCTAGACACGTGAATTTGGTTGAAAAGCGACATCTGTCCGGAGACCCAACATAGAATATGCTACATATTGTTCCCCTTGTAAACAAATTTGAGATGAACATGAGCTACGCATTCTGCATTTTGGCGACTGTTTTGGCAACCATCACTAAGTACCAAGGGTTCATGGTTACGAGGTTAAGTGGTTCTCTAGACAAACATCGTTCCATCCCTACAATATTGTTAAACTAGTATATGTATTTTTGTTTTCGTGATAGGAGCGGGCCTTGGCATCATTGTATGCCTTGCTAAAGCTTTGCTTGGGGCGTACTTCTCTTCGCGGTTGTCAATGGCCGCTGGTATATCAACTACAGGACTCCCACTGAGCTACATGATATTCCCACCACTCGCCCAGTTTCTCCTAGAAGTCTACGGATGGCGGGGGACGTTGCTGATCTTTTCTGCTCTTGTAGCTTTCCTTATTCCCTGCGGCCTTGTGATGAGGCCTAGGCCGCCCTCTGGTGACAAAAGCTACAAGCCCATTCCGGCAAACTCAAGCCAACAAACCTCAAGCTCAGAAGACGGACCTCAGCTCTGTGGTTGCGGCCGCTTGCTTGACGTTCTGTGCGAAAAAACCGACTTTGGCCTCTTCAGGAACGTGATGATGTGGAGCCATATTGTGACTTATTGCCTGTTTGGATTTGTCAACAATTCTTGGGTTATTTTCATGGTGCCGTACGCGCAGACCAAAGGTTTCGCGCCGTTCACGGCGACTTCCTTCAGCATCATCGCCGGGGTGAGCTCCATGATATCCAACCTCTTGCAGGGCGTGGTGGTAAGCAGACATATCTTGTGCACAAGGGTGTTGATTGCAATCGGTTCGGCCATCGGGAGTGCTTCACTAGTTGTCAGCCCGTTACTGCACACATACGCCCCACTGGCAGTGGCCATGTCGCTCTACGGCGTTAGTCATGGAATACTCTACCCGGGATTGGTGTGTTTTGTCATTGAAGAGCAAGGGAAAAGTAGGGCGGCCAATGCCTTCGGCTGGACGGGATTCCTGTCCGGACTCTTCAGGTTGTGTTTCGGATTTTCCACAGGTAAACGACCCTATCTGGCACTATTTAATTGTCTTTCAAAAAGATACGTTTAAATGCTGAAAAGGGCATAACAATTTGTGGTGTGACTGGGATTTTAGATTGGGCTGGTAAGACTGCAGCTGGTTTGAATTGGGTTGACTTGATTGGAATTTAATTCAGTTGGCTTCAGAGTTGGTTAAGTCATTAGCTTAAGTTGGAAGCCCCCCCCGGAATACAATGTAGGCCGGTAATAATTGATTTGGGTAAAATTCAACAGCTTTGGATTTGGTCTACTCGTTATCAACTTAGTTATATTTTTCTCTCTCAACAGGCCTGCTGTACGACTACACTGGAAGTTATGATCATACATTCATATTCCTGGGGACCTTACTGGGAATTATGGTCCCCTTCTTTTTCTTGGACAAAATAAGTGATTGCTGTAGTCGAAGGAAGGAATGATTAATGCACGTCGAGTGGATTTCTATGCGTTCAGTGAACTTGCCTATAGAGACTGCAACATCCAGCACGGGAAACACTTGACCAATTAAAATGTAACCATGAGAAAAATCGTTCAGTTACAAAGAAATAATTTCAAGGTCTTCATTCATTGTTTGCAATGTAACAGCCACTTCCCATCGACAAGTAAGAATTACACGTTGATGGCACAGTATTCAACGTACGAATTGCTATGCTAACCATTTGAGAACATGTAACAACACGAAGAACACCTTTCCAATAAATTACTGGTGTTATTGAGGTCAACAGTTTTGTGAATTGTCTATGCAACACTTTGATAAATTATTGAAATTGTTCCACTTGAAGATATCTGACAGCATGCCATATTAGGCAATAATTTGTTTGTGCCGTGGTTACAGATACTAAGTGGAGCCAAGATACATGAACTACTAAATCTACATTTGTATATACATAATTATATAGGTGAGTGGTGAATCAAAGTGTACTTTGCAGTTAACAGGAAACTTTAGAGCTACATGTACCTTTTTTATTTGACAAGTGAACAAAGTACACAGTACATGCTGTTTTAAACATCTGAATTCTGGTATCCACAAAAAGGATCTTAGTGCAGCTTACTGTTGGATTCTTGGAGCAAATCTGCATTACGAAATATGAAATCTTGTACTTTGTTGAACTTCTGACCGCTTGGCAATAGACGTGACTTCTGTAAACCACTCAGTACACAACCAACTCCGTCAGGCTGGTCTGCAAATGGTAGACTCAACAGTAAGGTTGTTAATATAGTACACTGGAATTTAGTCCTAAAACAGTTAGAAATTAGACAAAAGAACTTGCTCTTGAAGCCCAATTTCACAAACCTGATAGACGTTTGTGGGTCAAGTTTCATACTGAGTAGAAACCCTTTGAGATGCAGTCACAAGCAGTGTAAGTCACAACATTTTAGCTTGTACACTTTGCCAAATCATTCAATTATCACTGCAACTGGAGAGTGGGAGCTCCAAGAAATCAATGTCCAGTAATTATTCATCTCTTTCCGAGTTAATAATACTTGAGAAGACAACAGGTGTGCACTGCAGGTTACGCAGATTGAGCAACACACACGCATGACTGCTGACGAATCGGGGGATTGTTACCATCAAAACTTTCTGCCCTGCCTCACCTGCCGAGAAACAAAACCAAAAAAGCACATACCATACATGAAGGAATACACTAACAAACTGTTTAGAAATATGAAAGCTATTGAGCAAGGAGGGACGGGGATCGATTGAATGGATAGCTTCTAGAAGTTACCACCAACTGAGAACTATGAATTACCTTTGCAAATGCGACTTTGGAATTTAGTCTGGTTGCCAGCAAAGTAGACATGTGGGCACTCGGACACGATGAATGGATCATCATTGTAATAGGGATAACAGGCTGCCGATAAATTCAGAAGAACGTACAACTATTTAAGAAAATGAAATAATTGGATTTTATCTTCAAAATAACTTGAATTTTTCCAAACCTATTTATTTCAATACCAATTTCAACGATATAGAACAGTGTGGAAGAGACTGGATTCATGCACCATTCAGAGAACATTCAATGGATGTTAACTAAGAATGGTCGAATAAATTCTGCCCCACACCTTTTAATACCTCAATCTTTAATAACTAGATACTAAAACTGATTTCCATGCTCAGGGATTATGGTGTAAGAATTTAGATTAACCTTGACGTTTTGCTGAATTCTCTTTCAGACTATATCTGCTATTTTCTGAAAAAAGGCGATATACAATCAATGACCCTAGTGGAATCATTATTCCAAGTTAAATTTTCTAGAAAGAGAATGGTTTTCAGACAGTGCTCAATTTATGTGAATAACAAAGCGAAGTGCATGTGTGATTGCTACTGATACATGTATATCATCTGAAGCTTTCAGTGGGTAATAATCATACCAAGTGTGTCTGGAGCTGTCGGAGCAATGTGATTGGCTCTCAATGTTGACTCCAAGATCTCAATGCCATCTTCCATGTCTGTGTACTGGAATATGTCCGTAATGTTCTGACCCGAAGACCCAAGGAACCTGAGGTAAAGATTTGTTCAAGAAATCTGTCATACTGCCTGTAATTAATTCAGATTCGACATCCTTTACTGTACTGTGTAGGGCTGCCTTCTAATTCCCTTCATTGCTTGGTAAGGGGAATCCTCCATTATTAAAATGTTCTTAGTGATCAAATTTAGAAACCTTGAATCATGCTTGGATCCGTCCAAGCTGTTCTGATGTCTTAAATGCAGTGTTACTGCAGGTGGGTACATTTCTGAACCAAAATTTGAGATTGGACAATTTTATTTTACCATTTGCTCCAGCTAAATACACTAACCATGTGACACTTTACTGGGCAAAAGCTGAAGCAAATAACATCAAATGTTTGTCCAACACACCTGACACCATCAATGGATGCTTCGTACGGATTGGTCACAGAATGCATCGTGGGATAGACAGACGCCTGCGGGAACATACACCTATGCAGTGGCTGCTGAGGCAGAAAGCAGAAGGCTGGATCATGCGGACCGGGCATCACATCCACAGCAACACAGCTCTGCAGAAAGGTCAGGGTCAAAGGTTACACTTCTGAGGCAACTGGTTATTAATAACACATCCTTTCCTAGAATCATTTGTGAACCGTTATCCACTGCTAATAATTGAACACTAATTAGTGCCATTGATTAAATTAAAAGCCATTTACCTCAGTAGTGCTGTGCTTGAGTGCAAGTTATTTACATTTGTACACTCATTAAATACCTCAACGACCTGTAGACAATCCAGTTAACAAAATTAGAAGCCGCTACTGTGGTGGTGCCACTCTGGTGGACAGGTTGCATATATCTATTAGACGTTTCCTATTACGGGCACCACAAGTTCAAGAACGCACATGCAAGGATGCTCCCTTTGTATTAGCGGCATGTTCTCAGCTTAGGCAGTAGAAGAGTGCTGTGACTGACAATGTAGACACAGTTCTGGAAGAATTTCCCTCAACGAAGATATCTCTTAATTTCTCAAAACTGCTCATCTGAGTCACTCCACAGCTCACAGTCAATGAGTAATGACATATCAATTACTTAGAAGAACCACTCACCGCTAGCTGTGCCAAAACATCGTCCAATGCCTTCACTGCCTCAACGGTACCCGCCTTCACTTTACGACTCAAATATTTTGCCTGAAGATCAATCAGTTGAAGATGTGTTAGCAAATGGCACATACCTACATGGAGTCCAAGAACTTATTTTCTGCTTGTAAAGACTCTTTTCATCACTCATGTTTTCAAAGACACAGAGATAGACAGACATTGAGTAATCATGGCTATCATACACTAAGCACCTTTTGTACAAATGCTCAGGTTTGGTGCACATTCCAATGAAAACAGGTCACACTGAGCACCACATGCACAAGAACCAGTATGTGCATACAGTGTGGACCAACCCTGAAGCTCTCATGATCAGTCACATAATATGATCCACTATTCCCGTACACAGTAAACACATGAAAGCTTGAGTTCTAATGTAAAGAAATATTCAACGGTGCTCAAATGTACTGACTGTGCTGAGGACATCAGCCTGCTGTGTACTCTTGCTCAGGCTGTTGCCTGCAATGATGACCCGCACAACTTTGGAGTAGACTTCTTGTTCCTCGGGGCTCCCTAGCTGGCCAGTTATTAGATCCAGCAGGAGCTGAAGGTTCATGAGATGATGGCCCTTCTCCCCTAGACCCAGGCCAGACACCAGTACAACATACCTATGCAAACAGGGTGGGGGAATAAATGTGAGCAAGTTCTCTACCACTGAAACGAAATAACTGCAAGAACATTGTTAGTCATGAGTGACCCTTTGAAACCTTGATGTGTTTCACTGAAAACCCCAAATTACAGTTGCCTGATGCTCCACACATAGTATAAGAATTCTGGGGTTATATCTATTCCCACCTGTCTTCACTGAGTTGCTTGGGATGGAGCTGAACTGGCAGGTCAGCTGTGCAGAAATCCTCCACTTCAAACTTGCCATCATCTCTCTCATGACCATTGACCGCCATAACAACACCTGACAAGAGATTGGGAGCAATATTGTTGAAATTATCAGTATTATCTCTGAATTAAACTCCTCTGCAGGAGATGTACACGTTTGTAATGACACACATGAAAAAGCCCAAAGTGCAAAAGTTTTTTTGAACGAGGTATTGAGCCATTTCATGCAACCTCACTATTTGAAGCAATTATTGATCCTTGACATATCATAAACTGATTTTTATCAACACCATTACACCCTACTAAATTCTACACTATTCAAATATCAACTGGACTTTTCATTAAGCAATGAATTGCTGTGACAGAATAAAATCACAGCAAACCGGATTTTTAAGTTCATGAATCGGGTTTTAAAAAGTTGTTGCAAGCTAATGACCATCAGGATGGCCTTTAGTTCAACGCTGACTTCATATTTATGTTTCACATTCTTGTGAAATCCCCGGTTGCAAGAATATCATGATTTTTTTTACATGAAGAGAGGAAATAAACCAATTTTCTCTTCCCAAAAGGCTACTGCATATTTGCTTACATAAGATCATTGACTAACAAAGTAATCCATCAGATGTCTCATTTCCATCACTAAAGCTTATTGGCGTTCCAGTGTAAGACCCCGAACAATAAGCAAAACTAAGTTAAAGAAGGAAACATACATGATTCCACCGCGTTAATCACCTGTGACTGCCTTCTGTACGTCCAGCTTCCCAACAAGTACTATCCTCTGCAGTTCATCCTCCAGAATGAGTGTGTCCGAGTCGGCAATATATTTGTCTCTTGAAGGTTGCGGTACCAAGTTATGCTGAAAAATAACATAGACACACTTCACATTAAAAAAAAACCCCAAAAAACCAGGTCTGCAGTGAAATTCTTCTCAGTGCTCATTCCTGCACATACACTTCAAAATACTGCAAACAAGACTAGCATTCAAGACTAACAAAACACATGCAGTGTTTGGTTTTAGGAACAATTTGATTCAATTTTTAAGTAAATTCATTCCGTGAATCTGTGTCAGGTACACATCAAACTTAATTGTGATGACTGAAACTGTTGAAATGGAACAGACGAGTAAAAATTGATGGGAAGCTTCTCAGAAACACATTAACATGATGGTTTTCATTCCGTGTGAAATAAAGTAGACCTCACTTGAAAATGGACTAATAAATTGTATCATGGCATATAAACAGAAACAACATTAATATCTAGGTATTGTGCTCAGAACTGGCAAATGTATTTATATTTATGTCTAATGGTTTGGGCTCAGAACTGGCAAATGCATTTATATTTATGTCAAATGTTTTGGGCTCAGAACTGGCAAATGCATTTATATTTATGTCTAATGTTTTGGGCTCAGAACTGGTAAATGCATTCAGATTTATGTCAAATGGTTTGAGTCTGTTCAATGGGTGCAGTTGGAAGTATCTTCATGAGACCTGTTTGTTAAAAGTACTGAATCCTTGGCAGTTGGAATACAGGGACTTAGTATTTACTTGAAACCCCCCCAAAAAATAAAAACAAAAATCAATGTGATTGCTCAAATTAGCGCAAGCACAGTTGAAAAATTGAATTCTACTCTGGACGGCCTAGTAGGCTGAAAATCTTGATACTTGTTGAATTTGTTGGCAAATGTTGCAATGTCCTCACATCTTCACTGATCTCCTTGAGGATACTCGGCTTCAACTCCATACTCTTGAATAATGTCCCCACCACACAGCATTTCTCATCTGTCTTCAGTTCATACAACTTGCGCATCAGAACAGAAGTCCCTTAAAATATGACAACATTTTGACAGGAGTACTGTGTCACATCAAAGAAATACAAGAAATGAGTCACGTTTTCAAGCCACTGAAAATGGTATGGCAGGTTTACCATGGCCTATTACTTTCACAATAGCAAAACTAATATTTTGTTGCAAGCTGGAATACCTGTCTCAGATACGTCTTGAGGAACATAAGGACAACAAGAACGAAGACAGTGACAATTTTAAGTTTGTATGGTGAACCAAGACAAAAAAAAATAATAGAATGTACAAGAGCAAAGAACACAAAGAAAAGAGTAGACTTGCCTGATGCTCTACACAGAATGCAATCAACAAAGGAGATGAAATGAAGAACATTTTGAGCTATTTTTGTGTACAGTGCCACAAAACTTCTTCATTCTTTAATGTAAGTTGGCACTGATATTTCAGTGAAAGTTGTGACTCAAAGGTGTTACACAACAAAGCGATCAGACACACTTGTCTTCATTTTTATTTCAAGAAATCAAATTTACCCCATTTCCTTTTGGCAGACTCCAACAAACGACGGCGCATGGAGCACAAGCGTTCGGCATAAAGGTGTGCATACTGTCGTTGGAAATTCCTGTCCTTCTGCAGAAACCGAGCAGAGAGATTTTCATAGGTGGAATTTGGACGCTGAAAGGTGACAGCTTCTTCAGCTGCTTCTGCCATTCTTGACCGTTTCTGAAAAGGTTGCGCAGTGAATTCAAATTGCGGATGCCTCCGAGATTGTGCTTCTTCACCCACTTAATAAGTGACTATTACGTAACTGCACAAGAGCTGTGGATTCATGAGCAATGCATGACTCCCTTCACTGCAAAACAAAAGAAACATGAAATCATTTAAAACTAAGGACAGTTATGAAGCATGTCATCTCACACTGTGCAAAAACAACAGAGCTTAAACAGCCTGCAATGATCTCCCAAGGACGCACAGTTGCCATTTGAAACACTGGGCAGGCCTAAATTATAGTTGAGGCAGTTCTTCGAAGACCAAAACAAATTATTTTGAGCACAGTGCTCTTTCCACAAATCATCTTTTGGCAGAACACAGTTCGTGCAAAAAAACTGCAGAAGACGGGTGGACAATGGTGGAATACCACCATCATTGCTCTACTGCTACACCAACATAAACATTTGGTCTGCCAAGCTGCATTTTCACAAACATGTTTGAAAGTCCATGGACTGAACAAAAGTCATGGGAGTTATTGCAGATTATTTTCCTCAGTGTCAATAATACAGGCAGTGTCATCCCACACTTTTGTGAAAATCCTCCATCATCAGGGTAAGAATTCCATATACAGACATCACTAGTTTTCCCAAGCAATAGTTAGTTACTAGCATAGCCATCTAAAAGTGATAACATCTAGTCTACTAATATTAAAAAGTCAAAAGGGAAAAAATGAAGCATTTACTTAAGCCTAGGCCTACTGAGAAAACACTTTTTCCGCCTAATCTAGCAGCGATACAAGCACTCACGACAAGCATTTGACACTCAATGACAGGTACACAAATGGACGGTCTAGTCGCAAAGATGATGTCCGGATATGCCTAGCTATGGAACTTTTTCCTTCAGCTGAATGATTAAGTTCGACCGTTTATAAAGGGTAATTTTCTTGTTAGTAGCACTTGGCCTACTACTAACAGTACTATAAACTTAGACTGCACCTGCACCACACATGACACCACACACCGCCGGCTGGCCCGTCGTCAACTTCGCACAAGCTCGTACTAGTTCATCGACTTGCGGGATAATTTTGCCCCGCGCGCCATATGCATCACGCGCACGCGCGCCACACAAACTTTAGGCTTTTTCATGCTATCTAAAAAAAAGTCTCGTAAATTTGATATATATAGATTTTGAAAATTATTGAGAACTAAATTTATTTGAATAATTTCACCTTTTTGAAATTAAAACCTGAATGAATTTGATTAGTGTTCTTTTTTTCATTACAAAATAAGCAGGATACGAAAATAAGCTCCCAGGATGCATTGTAATATTTTGTAATGACGTCATCCATCCCCGTGTTTACATCATATCGCCAGCTGCTTCGCAGTAGTAATTCTTTGTTCGTTACTTCCATGTTTTCTTTGGAAATTTGTCTTTTTTATTCGTCCATAAGTTGAGAAATTAGTGTTAAAGCAATGTTGAGATTGTACCACAAAAGGAGGATATATTTAGGTAATTTAGAGAACACTTAACCGTAGAAACCATTGGGAATTCCCTGGCAGTGATGCTGCAAATTACCGCCAAGCTGGCTTCGATGATCCAGTCGACGTCGTACGCAACATTGTGAAACAACCACCAATCACTGTGCTCTTAGCTGACATCGAAATTTATCGCCAAAAATCATCGGTAACTTTCTTTGTTTTTCAAGCATGTATTTTGTTCGTAACGTATTGCAGTCAGGGAGTCCTCCTGGGCAAACTGGTCGGAAGCTATGGCTGTATTTTGGGCATGTCTGGCAGTGGACAAGCTCTTTGGCATGTTTGGTCTTTGTAAAAAGAAAAACTTCTTGGTTGATGTATATTGATTTCACAGTAAATGCAACCCTTGCATTTATTCACTGTACATCATGATATTCACAGAATGTCACAATGGCAGGAGTTCAACTGGAGCATTTACTTTCTTCAAAACATGCAGGCTCTCTCAACAATGTCAGTGTTTCACCTCACGAGTCGCTTGGTGCAAGCTCAGCATGCTAGTTCCCCTACTCAACACCAGGAGGAAGAAGGCATAAAGGCCGGGCGCTCAGCAGAAATAGAGCTCATCAACGCCCTGAAGCAGCAAGGCATTCCTTCCTCCCATATCTTTCGTGGTCTTCGAGTACCAGATGGTTTCCAGACTAGGAAATATGAAATTGATCTTGTGGTCCTTACTGGTAGGTTTTTAGGACAGAAACCATTGTTTGAGCTTAAGAATGTTCTCATTGGCAGGATTTCACATTGCAAGATGAATTTTTGGTAATTTTTGCTAGATTATGGTCTGTTCACCGTGGAAGTGAAGAACTGGTCTGGCAAAGTGTCTCTGGGCTCGGATGGTAAATCCTGGATTCATCACAAGTGCACCTACTCAGACAAGAACTCCAGCGTGTCCTATGATGAGAAAAGTGAGGACCTCATCACCACCCTGAAACTGAAGACGCAGCTTCTGCGGAACCACCTGCTGCGGAAGGACGTCTGCCTGGCTGAGAAGTACTTCCATCCCCGTGTCGTGTTCATGAACAAAAAGCTGGAGATACAAGATGAGCTGGTGTCCAAGCTGGAGGTGGTGTCGTCACTGCGCTACCAGGTTTTTCTGCAGTCCTTTCAGAAAGGCTTTGGATGGAGTGTGGCCAGTGCAATCATTCCTTCATTTATAACAGGTTAGACTTCCAGAATTCCAAACTTGTTATCTTGGTGCATGGCGTCAGTTTTTCAAGTTCTCCTTAGTACCTCATAGGGCTTGTTAATGTGAAAGTTGTTGATGCTTTAGAATCAGCAGACAGGAATGTGAGATGTTACTTGTGTATCAACACTGCACGAAAAGGTAATCCCCAAACATTCTTATTTTACTCCAAGATACGTTCCATCCGCCTTTGGGATCTTCATTGTTGTGCGATTTTATTCTTATAGGCCAATTGTCATATGGTGCAATGGAGATGGCAAGACAAGGTTTGAATACCATTGGGACATGGGACGTCATCAGTCTGAATGGAGATAGACAACTCTATGGTTGGTATTGTTATGTAATTATTTCCTTCACTATATCGATATTTTTATCTTTTTTGTGATAATTAAATGGAAGCCTGGAAGCCCATTCACTTCTGAGTTGAATTCATCTGTTCACAAATTACTTGTCTTTCAGGTGACTTCAAGGGGAATGCCCACTTTTCTCCAAATCGCGAGGAGACAGCAATGTTGGAATTCAGCCATCAGCGGAATGCAGCAATCTCATCACTGTGGGCAGTGCTTGGGTATTCACCACAGGTACTTGCAAGGATTTCTCAGACATGAAAACTATTATGAATTTATAAGTCATTGAATATTAGTTATTCCCTCAGGTGATCCATCTCTGTTAACTCTGGAAACGTAGACAGTAGTTGGATGTAAAATTGAATACTTTGGATCATCCATTTGTGCCTTAATCCCCTTTTGAAATGTAAGGCACCATTTCAAAATTCTTATCAGGCAGGTGTCAGACAGAACGGTCCGACTGATTGGTTGGCTATCAAATGAAATGTTCTCAAGTGGCCAGTTCTAATTGATAAATGCCTTTACATTGCATTACTCCCAAGGCTATGTGGTTTCAGTGGAGCAACACCCCCTCCATTATTCACTCAACACAAGTCACAGCTATTATTTATCAGTCGGATGGCCCTGTCTTATAGTCAACAGATAGGAATTTTGAAGTGATGCCTAACTGAACCTAACCAAAGGCTTGGGGAAAATGCTATGTCACCAACACCCACTTTTTCCCACAAATATCCCCAACCAGCCTTCTCCTACCAAGAAATTTTCTTTCGTGGTACTTTTGAAATACCATGAGTAGTTGTAGAATGTTTTGCTATTTTCTTGAGTCATGGTGTGGACTTTTATCTTCGAGATGTGGATAACAATTTTATTTTCTTTAGGTGGTGATTACAATGCACAAACGTAGTGGGGGAAGCTGGCTGTGGGGCACCAGTTGTGGCTCAGTTACCATCCCTTACAATGCCGAGATTATGTTCCGAGTAGCAGGGGACCAGGAGGACTCCAAGATACCCGCCAATGACATCCAGTCCATCAGCCTCAGCATCTAAAGAAATTTTGAGTTCACACAATCCAGTAAATACATATATGTCTGGGGGTGTTGATCTAATATAATTGTTTTCTTTGATTCATGTTCTTTAAACTAGACATGTGTATGAGCATTGTTTTGACATCACTGGAACAGCATTGAGTGTAATGGTAATGCAAGGGGAGTTATATTCGAAGTTTGGTAAATTTGCTCCTATTTTCTGCAAACCAGAATGATTTATGAAGCTTTAAAAGGATGACAGGCAAAGATTCAGAGTTCTCTGCTAAATGGTATTGATAAAATTGACTGTAAAAGCAGTTTTTTTTTGTTGTAGTATTCGTTTCATATTGGTTACAATCGGAAATGAGTTGGGACTTGGTGGGCAGTGTGAGAGATGAGTTAGGACTGATGGTCCAGTGATCAGAAAAGATAAAAGTTTACACAAAAAATGTCTGTTGAGTGAATATTCACAGCTGGTGAATGAGAGAAGAAACACGTTTTTTCTATTGAAAAAGAGCTTGCTGAACTGTTGTTGTCCTTCCAAAATGCTACATTCATTTTGTGCTACATGCAAAGGTTAATGAACAGTTTGACAGTATGAATCAAAAGGGAGCCCACCTCAATGAAAATTTGAAATTTTTTTATCTGTTGCACATCACGTATCAATTTGTATGAGCACTGCCTTACTTTGAAGGTCTCAATTTGTCTTTAGCTTTGGAATTAGTAGTTGGTATGACATTACATGTATTTTTTAGCGTCCAACACCCGAAAACGTGGACATTTGAACTGTAAAGAATTACACAAATTACAGTTATCACCATCATCATCTTCGATACACTGACAATCAATATTTGTGGCACGGGATCAAGTCTTGACACTGATCACTGGAAGTTGCATTTTTCAAACTGCACTATATGTCAAATGAGAAAGAAAAAAAGAATGAAATGGGTTCATTTTTCTCGCTTTGAAAAGTGTCAGAATTTATTTATACTGAATTTATTTCTGGATAAGAACACTGGCTATTCGGAATATTCTTTTTCAGATTCATTTCATGTTTTTGTTCAGTTGATTTGCTTTCTTTTCTGGGTCATTGATAAAATTTAAAATTGACAGCCCTAAGGCCAAATTCTCTCACCTTACTGTTAGATTCAACCTCATGAACTAAAAGGATGTAAGTTAGTGAATCGACCTATATGCTGTCAGAAGTAGAAAAGGAAACTTTCTGTGTCACATTGAAATAGAAAGGCAAAGTGCCTGCGTTTGTAGAGTTTTAGAGCAATTGTATTTTGTATTAAATAGTTGCACAGATTATTTGAGATGGAGGCTTTGCCCTTAATTGGACCATTTGTACTTTATGAATTGTATTGAGTTTATGGAGTGTTATTGTGGTGGGTTGCATGTACGTGTGCTGGGTATTTGAAAATTTGCAGGTGTGTTTTAAGGTGTTTGAAATACTATTTTTCCAGCAAATTTGTATAAATTAGAATGCGTGGACAGTTCAGAAGTTTTTATCAATGACAATGTGCCATGTGTTTTCACATTTTAGAGTTTAGAATAACGTATTCATTCATTGATGTGTGGTGATTGTAAATAGAAACTAAGTCACACTTCAATCTTGACTTTTTTCAGTTAGAAGAGCAATTAGTTGATCTGTACAGTGAAAGAATTTGCTTATCATGGAGAAAAAGTAACAGGTTTTCAGTAGGTGCTTTGCTGAAAGGAAAATGTGACTTGTTCATAATTGACTGATAAAGTGCAGTTTTGAGTCTGAATTATTTGATTCACTGTAAAACATTTTAAAAAGATACATTTGTAATACTAGTATAATTTGATAGATAGGATGGAATGGAACCAACAGAAGAACTGCACATATTTTCTTCGGAATGCCCATGTACCTCAAATGCAATAGTATGACTACATGAAATGTAGTTTATATGCATTCTATTTTTCTCTGGAAAATGGTAACTGGCAGAAGGGGACATTTCACACTCACTTTGTACTTGTTTTAAATCAATAGTAACCCCTCCCTTAACAACATCCATTTGCTCGGGTAGAATGCTCAAGAGGAAGGGATTTGGCTAGTTATGTTTATCACCTGAAGAAAAACCCATTGAGTTACTTTTGAGAAAAATTTTCATACAGTGGGGTTAGAAGTGTGGATTTGTTTTGCAGGACAGAAAAATGGAATCACTGAACTTACTTTTAGGGGACTTTATGGCATTTTCAAACTAGACGTTGATTGCCTTATATTATATTAATGACGGTACAGAGAAGACAGATTTTGAGGGCATTGCATTGAGTGAAATGAACATTTTTGCAGGGTATTTGGGGCCTTGCTACACTGATGAAGCATTACTGTGCTAAAGTGTATTCTTTTGTCTCTTTTGCTTGGTTTACATCCCAAATTGTCGATCTTAAGTGCATTTAAATTCAGGGGATTTTTTATTCGGTTTTCTTGCCATATTTATTCTTTAATGGTGCATGCTTATACCTTTCTGCAAGCGTAAACTAGAATTGTGAATGAAACTTAATAAAAAAATTCCCCTGAAGACAGGATCCTCACCAAGTAAAAAAAAAGTACAGTCATAAGACGTCATGAACAAGACCCATAACGTGTTGGCTCTATGCATGAACTCGAGGTTTTTCAGTGTCACTGGTTAGTGTTTTGTTCAGATTTATTTATTTGGAATAAATAATGGTGATATTATATCTGAAGTGTAACCAAGATATATCATTATTCTGTTGTCCCACATAGTTTCAAGGCGTTTAGCCTACGTTTGCACCACTTACATTTGCACACTGCAGAAAAATAACAAGAGTTGGGAACCATTAAAATATCGACAGGAATCGGAGTTTTCTTCGAGCGTGGGCCCCCGCCAGCAGTATGTGATGCGGGGTGTAAACAAAATCACGTGGTTGCCTTACGGAAAGTAGGTCGGGGGCTCAAAGTTCATCTCTATGGTTATCTTGCAGACGGCCACACCACATACGTACGTACGTACATGTACGTGCATGGTGCGTGCGTCTCGCATTGTAATGATTCTCTTCTCTTCAGATAAAAAATTGCATGGTTTTAGAGTCCCCTGGCCTCACAAAATGTAATGTGTTGAAAATGCAAAAGACCATACTTAACATACAAACTTAATATTTTAAACTGTATTCAACAGTGTTCAAGGATATTTTGCTACAACTAACGTTAGGAATTAAGCCAGTCTTTTTTGTGCGATTCGCCCGCGCCTTTGGGCATCATAACTGCAAAACAACGAGGCCTCACTGTCTTTACACTGTCAGACTGTACGTGTGACGTAGGATTTGTCCCTGTCAGAAGTTTGTAGCAATGTCCATCATAGGTCAGAAACCAGAAGTGAAACTGTGGGATGAGATTTGTAAAGGTATGTAGCAGTAAATAGAAGTAACGTAAAATTGTTTAGTAATTAGTGAGTTTTATTGATGTTAATTGGCGAAATGACGAGCATCAATTGCATATCCAGTTTCCGGACGTACTTTACCAACTGC